GCAAATAATCATAACTTGCATGGTTGAAAACTGAGTTGACTAACTGGAATGGCCAATGGGAAGTCAAAATATGATTTTACTCAAATAATTTTTCCATTAAGTCTTTTCTTTATTCTTCAGTTTAATTTCTATATCCCTTTTGGAAACCATGCATGTTTTTCTTGGTGAGAAAGTTTAATATAGGATAACAGGAGACTGTTTTTGGTTGTTCAGCTGATGTTCTATCTATGACTTGTTCCACCAAGAATATGCCACCAAGTCTTTCACCTAATAAATGCTGAGTATACAATTGTGCTCCAGACTGAAACTATACAGAATACAAAGAAAAAATGTATGTGATTATGTAGAGTCATAGATTGTACATCCCAATATTTTCTGCCAAATTAATGGCAGAATTCAGTAATTAAGTATACTTTTATACAAATCAATTGCTTTCTGTTGGTGTTTTTTTGTTGTTATTCATCAAGATCTATATAAATCAACAGCCCTTAAAAACCTATTCCCAAAAAAGCTAATTTATGAAAAGTTAGCATATAACATTCAGGGTAGATCCAGAGCTAAACAGCATTTAGCTGTTTAAATGCTGTTATATCTGATTAGTGTCTGGCTCATTTCAAGGATGTGCAGTCCAGCCTCTTACAATTATCATTGCCTTCTTGACCTGATTCTCATCTAGTAATGGAAGGGACCATAACTAATAACTTTCTCTGTTTTTGCTTTGAAGGCTTTAAAAAGAAAAACCTAATGCATTCCAGCTGGCTTTGGGATTTATGACTAATAAATATTTAAAACATTTAAGTCCTAACACTCTAGCGCTTATTCTTTTAAAGATTATGTTATCCAGACTCTCCACACTATGGGTTGACAGTGGTACTTCTTTTTATATGCTTTGAATTGTAACAGTCCAGATTTTTTAGCAAAGGTGATAAGTGGAATCCAGCCACTTTTCCGCCAATCATCTTCCTATGCACTTTAAAAAGAAAAAATGTATTTTGTTTAGAAAACAAATCAAATAAAGTGTAAAGGATATAGAATAATTTTTGTATGTTCTGGGGTAAGCAAAAATAATTTGTCTAAAGTTAATAAAACTATGTTATGTACAAATCAAAAGTAATATGAATATGCTAATAAATGTTCACCTACCTAAGTTACACATTATATTAAAGAAATTTTATTGCCAGACATTGGATAGATCAGATAATCCAAATTTAGAAGAAATAGATGACTACCTCAAAGATATTTCACTAAATCCCATTTCTTTAGATCAGAGAAGAGCTTTGAATAAAGATATTGCTGTGTCAGGAAATACTCAGTGTTATAAAGAATCTGAAGGCTAATAAATCATCAGAACCTGATGGACTCTGTAATTCTTTTTATATAAAGACAAATTAGGTCCTTACCTATAACAACATTCTTAAAAACAGTAATGAGCAGGACTCAATAATTGTGGCAATATTGAAACTAAATAAAGATCCAACAAAGGTAGCTATTTAAAGCCAATTCCTCTGCTAAATAAAGATGCACAGATTTTTTTTATGTGTATATTAGCTATGAGCCTGAAAGAACTTGTAAAAAATTATATTACTTTGGACCAATATAGCTTTGTGAAAAGAAAACAAGTCTCAGATCCCATTAGAAAAATATTAAATCTTATTAAATATTACAAACACTGACCACATTTGGTTGGTTTTCCCCTTGATGCATACATTGCCTTTGATCAGTTGAAATGCACTTTTCTAGACCACACCTGGAATACTGCAGCCAATTTTGGTCACCATATCACAAAAAAGATGTTGAGAGTTTGGAAAAAATTCAGAGAAGAGCAACTAAGATGATCCAAGGCCTGGAAACTAAAACATACGAAGAACAGCTATGGGATTTGGGTTTGGCTAGTCTAAAGAAAAGAAGAAATAGGGGAAACATGATAGCATTGTTCCAATATCTGAAGGGCTGCCCAGGGCTGAGGGGGCCAGATTGTTCACCAAAGCACCAGAGGGAAGGACGAGAAACATTAGTTGGAAACTGATCAAAGAGAGGAGCAACCTGGAACTAAGGAGAAACTTCCTGACAGTGAGGACAATCAACCAGTGAAACAGCTTACCCCCAGAAATCGTAATGGATAATAAATCGTAATGAATATATATATATATATATATATATATATATATATATATATATATATATATATATATATATATATATATATATATATATATATATATATATATATATATATATATATATATATATATATATATATATATATATATATATATATATATATATATATATATATATATATATATATCCCAGCATCCTGATTATACTCTGACGATGATGGCAGTTTTAGGCCATCGAAAGCTTGGTTTTATTTATTAAAACTGTATTGTTTTATACTTCCTGGTGATCACTTTGTTGTCTTTTAAAAATATGTTCATACCCAGGAATCGATCTTCTATTTTTAATGTTAGGAGGGAATATATATATATATATATATATATATATATATATATATATATATATATATATATATATATATATATATATATATATATATATATATATATATATATATATATATNTTTTTCACTGGATCACTCCTACTAAGACGCCAGGATTACTTTGACTGAATCTGTCACGTCTCTATCCCGCTAGATCACCGCTACAGTCGGTCAGCTGTCTGCTGTCATTTCTTCGCGGCCATTAAAGGCCGTCACCTTTCTCCGCTCGGCTTTCCAAGGCTTTCCCTGAGTCCGCTGATCTTGGCCGCCGCCAAAGATCACTCCTCAGGACGCCTCCTGCTTTCGGATCGCCCTCCAAGAAATCCGGGACCTCAAAGGGTCCGTCAAACGGTCGAAAGCGAGTGTGGATGCTCCAGAGAGTCGTCCAACACACCCGTTCTTCTTGACAGCTGGCCCCGCCCCTCAGCCCAATTTTTTTGTAAAGTGAGACATTTGTTAAGTGAGTTTTGCCCAATTTTACGACCTTTCTAGCCACAGTTCAAGATTCAAATTTTGATCACATGACCATGGAGATCATGTGAAAAATGGTCATGTCACTTTGAACGGTCACTAAATGAACTGTTGTAAGTTGAGGACTACTTGTAATTCATTTAGTTTACATTTGGTACGTGTGTAATTTGGGTCTTCTATGGGTATAAGTATATACAAGGAACATGTGTTACAAATCACAACAGTGCAATCTCTTTTTTCATGACTACATTTCTTTTTGCTAGTTCATTTAAGGATTAAAATTTTAAAAGTTTATAAATGTTCAGAATGTAAAAGATTTAACCACAGATTTAGAAAAAAATCTAATTAAAAAAATTAAATTCTAACAGTTATTTTAAAAATGTAACAATATATAAAAATGTGCCCTTTGATATGCACTTCTTTTTGCAGGAAATCTCTGGCTGCTTTCTAGGAGATGCTTTGCTCTTAGCTCTCTATTCCCTGACTTGAAAATTATCCCTTTCCTCCCTGTCTAGAAGTGTTTTATACAGTACTTATCCCTTTCCTCCCTGCCTTCTTGCTCTTTGGTTGCCACTGGTCACTGCTGGTGTTTTCGAGTATGATGTGCTGCTCTGGGCGCTCCAGTCCATTGCCACTTAGCTCTGTGCCATCGCAGCTCAGCTAGTCCACCACGCTGCTCTCAGCCACTGGTCTGCTGCCTCCTGTTCCACTGCTGGTCAGCTGGCTTCCGTTTGCACCATGCCACCTCCCCTCAGCTGGCCTCCAGCTGCCTCAACACCTGTCCTAGAATCTCCAAGTCCCTGGGCTGCTGGGCTGGGTCACTGGGCCACCTCTCAGATGGTCTGCGCTGGTCCACCTCCTGGGGGGGGGGCTGTCAGGCTGCCTGTCAGGTGGGTCGTGCCAGCCACCTCTCATCTGGGTCACTGGGCCTCTCTCCAAGACATTTTATTGGCTGAGGTTAATGACAAGGTGATGCCTTCCTCCCTCATTCCATATAGGAAAGCTGACTGGATAGCTAATTGAATAGCTAGCTATGGACAGAATTCAATAATAATCTGGTATAGCAGCAAGTTAATTTAGATCAGGGGTCTCCAACCCCTGGTCTGTGGACCGGCACCAGGCCATGACATGCCAGAAACGGGGCCGCAAACAAACAAAGCTCCATCTGCAGGATGCAGGCAGCATGTGAAACCATGCCCCCTCCAATCTGTGGAAAAACCTCTCTCTACGGAACCAGACCCTGGTGCCCCAAAGGTTGGGGGCCACTGGTGTAGATTATCAGAAAAGGCTAGGCCCTCCAACAGAAGGGAATGGATAAGAAGACTAGCAGAATAATCATGGGGAAGAGGTGCTTGACCATGCTTAATGGTAGAATCAATCTTAGTAATACAGGAGATATTTAGTTTTTATATAAAACATCTGAAGTTCATTCCAACTATGCAGAAGTTACATTTAACATTTTGGTAGCCAAAGATATATACATTTTTTGCTGCCTATCTCACCATGCTATTCCAGGCAGCTTACATAATAGTAAGGAAGAAATAAACAGAGTGTAAGCAAAGCAGAAGTAAGATAATAGAACAATAAAATGAAAAATGAAAAAGAGCACAAGAATACATCAATGTGATAACAAAAAAATGGACGGGTGGAGAGTAGAGACCAGGGGGGGGGGAGTCTGCCATCAATCCAACAGCCACCTCCCGCATTTGGTTCCCAGACCAACTGGCTGAGCCAGGTATTTAGGAGGGTGAGGGTAGATCTTACCTTAGAGAGTAAAATGTTCCAAAAGGCAGTTGCTGCAGTTCTTCTGGATCCTGACAGACAGAGTTCTTTGACTAATAGCATCCAAAGTAAGCTCTCTCTGCCGGCACAAGTAGGACATACTTTAATGAAAAAAAAAAGGGACATTCACCTATGCTTTATTTATTTTTCTTTGCTTTATTGACAATGCTAGATTAGGAAAGGATACAAATTAGATAAAATCCCAGGTCTTTCTGAGACAAGATTTTGTTGTTGTTGTTCTTCCAGCATGCAGGACAGAAGTTGTGAGCAGCCTGTCCCTCTCTCTGTAATTATGAAAGAGCCTCATCGTTTTGAGAAAAGCCCTTATGTTGGAAACTATGAAAACAATTCTGAGGATTCATTACGTTATGAACTCTTTTATGATTCCCTATCAGATATACAAGATGGGGACTTTTCAAATGAATTATCTGCCTTTCTTAATCAAGATGAGATAAACAAAAGCCTTGAACTTGCTCATCAATCCATTAATTCTGTTGAAGAAAAGCAAGAGTACCCTTACTTGAACACTTCTTCAAACTCAGCAGAAAATGCTTCTTCTGGACAAGCCAAAGCACATGACAGTTATCCTTCCAAGAGAAATTGCGCAACCAGCTCCACCTCCTTGTGGCTTTCATCTCAAACTCCCACAGAGCAGCAGGGTCAGAATGCATACTCTCATGGAAAAAGTGATATTTTAAATGTTACTGGTAAACAAGCAAGTGCTTTTCCCCTGCTGCCTGCAAGACCCAGCTTTATCCGAAGTCTCAAAAATGCTGAAAGGCATAGTTTAAATGCCCCAAAGGGGAACCCTAAATCTAAATCAGTTTTGGCAAGTAATGTCCCCTTGAAGAATAAGCTATGTGATAAAGCTTCCACTTTGATTGAAGAACTGTCTTCTATTTTTCACGAAGCAGCCAAGATGAGAGTTGAGAGTCCAAATGGAAATTCTTCATCTCCTGATAGTGGATATCTTTCTCCTAAGAGCAAGCAATTAGCTTTGTCAAATTCTTTAAGGAATTCAGTACTTGAAACAAGTTTAGAAATCACACTAAAAAATGAGATCCCTAAAAATGAGATCCCAGAAGTCACTCAGGTTAAAGAATGTGTGCTCCAAAGAAAAGAAGGGTCTCAGATGGGTGAGACTGTCTCTCAAAATGAAGTTGCAAGAGAAAGTCAGAATCAGTTATCTCCCCCTCAATTTATCCATAAACTGAGGAGTCAAGAAATTCTTGAAGGAAGCAAGGTTCTACTTCAGTGCAGGGTTGCTGGAAACCCGGTACCTCAGATCAGGTAAGTTTTGGGTATTCATCTTTGAGTAAGTATTCATTGATATATCTTTTGTATGATCTTCCATTTCCTTTCACTTGACACTTTCCATTTGGCACATCTATCAGTGGATTGGTAGTAAAAATACACATATACTCAACAGTTTTATATTCCATTCTGTCAGGTTAGAAAGGAAACTTGCAAAATTCAGTTTTACCTAATGGGAGGAAGGAAAAAAATATCCACCTGTGTTTTTTTGTTTTTTTAAAAAAACCAATGGTTCCCTAGTGAACTAATAAAAAAATTCAGCATTTTAAGAACCTATCATAGGAAAACTGACAACCTAGTAATTCAGGATGAAATGGCTGTGGAGTATTGTGACTATTGCCTGGAGGAGATAGGGTGTTTCTACCACAGTAACCAGTAGCCAATTGGAGCAGATTTATTTGCATATAATGAATATGTTGAGCAGGCAGACCACAGGGAACAGTTTATTTTGGCAGAGTGAAGAACCTACTTTGGATATCGAGCAAGACAGTAGAGACTTTGCAATGGGTGAGTGGCAGTTTGAAAGTGCCATTGTTAATTCTTTTTGAAGGGTAACTTTTTGGGGGAGGGGTGCCTTCTTACACTGTATTTACCAGACAGGAAGAAAATCCTGACACTCTGCCTCCATTACCATATTTTAAGAGAATCTAAAGTAACCCTTCCATTTTAAATCTACATTTGGTAAATAATGAGGATTCTTTTCAGGTGCATCTAGTGTTGTTATAGGCTATTTGATATAGTCCATTTGTCTGAATTATCTGTGTTAACAGGAATACAATAATGCCAAAGTCATCTTGTTCTCTGAATCTTATCCATCACACACACACATACAAACACAAACACAAACACACACACACACACACACATACACACACACACACACACACACAGAGTGTTTAAGGACCTGCCTAAATCAGTCCTCCCAAGAAAGCAGAATTCTTGAAATGGACATCATTTCAAAAGGAACTTTTATTGGGAAATGTTGACAGCAGGAATAGAAGGCAGGATCTGAGGGTTTCCTGCATGAATCAATAGGTCAAAAGAATCAAGAGTAACCCCACCCCAACTGTCCATCCCAATGGTTCAAACAGGCCAATCCGCAGATGTGAAAATGCTGTGGGAACAGGGCGATAAGGCGCCACTTCCAAGGCTCTTAAGTCTCTCTGCGCCACTTCTTCCATGCTCGGAGATAAGGCAGATGGCTGGAGGCACATTCCATTCTCACACTGATAGAGAAACATCAAAGAGGATAGAGCAAGGAACAAACCAAAAGGAAATACACACCAGCAACCCCAAGCTTCCTCCCCCCTCAGGAGAATGGCATAACCTGAAAAGAACAAGAAACCCCCCGCCCATAGAAGGGCAGGGTTCTGACATGCTGCCCCCCTTAAAAATGAGAGATCCACCTGGAGAGAAAGAAAATAATAACAGGGAGAGAAAACTACATACAGTTTAGTTGGGTTTATCAGGATATTGGGCATGAAACTTTTTTAACAACCTAGGACCCCTGACATGTCTTTTGTGCACCCACTCATTCTGGGAAGAGGGGAGATCTTTCCAAGCTATTAGGTATTGTGTTGATCCATGGTGTTTCCTGGAATCCAGGATCTCCTTGACTTCAAAGTGCTGTTCTCCCTCCACCATAATAGGTGGAGGAGAGGGAACCATAGCTCAATTAACATTTTAATAAGCTACAATGAAATACTGGGTGAACCTGTCTTAATGTTTTTGGGAGTTCTAATTCTATGGTTACTGGGTTGATGGCCCTTTTAATGGGGAATGGTCCCATGAAGTTTGACCCTAATTTCTTCGATGGCTGTAGAGATTTTAAATACTTTGTGGATAAGTATACTTTTTCCCTGACTTTAAACAGCTTAGCATTGTTGTAAGCCACTTCCGTGAAAGGAAGTAGGTCGGTCAATTGTCCTGTTGATAATTAATAAAACATCTTAAATATTGTTCCAATATTGTTCCAATACTGAGTTCGAACGTTCTTCCCACCATTCGTTTGCGGATGATGACTAAATGACAAGCCCTGGGCAAAACCCAGGAGGTCCAAAAAGGCTCTCTAGAACTCAGAAGGGAATTGTACCCCCCTGTCTGAAATTATGCTTTATGGAGCCCCATGCAATTGGTGATATGTTGTACAAACAGCTTTGTTAGAGTCTTTTTTTTTCCAAACAAATTTTTTATTAATTTTCAAAAAAACCAAATATACAAATACAGGCATACATTAATATCAATAACAGCTTGTCTGCACCTAGGGTGCCGGCCGAGCGTCTCAAAAGTTTAGCATCAGTACACTTAATTATTTTATATCTATTTCTACCCACCCACCCACTCCCAATCCCCCCCAGACTTCCCAGAATTGATTACAGGGTTACAAACACCTCATCCCAAGTCAAAATATAAATACCCAAATTTAAGACAATCAAATATAAACATCCTTTAACTCTAAACATTAAAAAACAATCAAATAAAACTCTAAGCATATATCTAATAATAATCTATCCATCTTCCCCAAATCACACTTAAAATTAATCTTACAAATATGCAGAAATCTTTACCATTTCTTCAAAACTTAAACATAATAATATCCTTAATTATAATAAACATTATAAAATTTACTCATAAGCTAAATTTTTTTTATCACTTTCAAACTTTCTCTAAATATAATCTACCCATCTTTTCTAAAATTTAAACAACAATAATTTTACCACTATTATAACATCAACATCACATTCGTCTCTTTAAAATTCAAATCCCATAATAAATTACAAATTATATCCCATATATCCAATCAATTATTTTACAATCTTTAACTAATTTTATAAATTCTCATTATATAAACTCTATTCAAAATAAAGCTCCTTGTAACAAACTCCCTTAATCAAATCAATCCTTTAACATAATATAAATTCCTTGCAAACTTTTTCAAATAATGAAATATTCTCTTTCTTTTATACAGCAAATTAACCATCAATATTCAAAATCAAAAGTTTTAAAAATATAAAACTTCTAAAACAAACAAATGTATTGTAAATTAAATCCTTTTTGCTGCATACACATTATAACAAAATCTTCTGAGAAGTAAATAACAACATCTCTAGGTAGATTTCTCTGACGTGCGACCCCTAAATTAACTCTATAAATTTTTATCTCTTGAAATTTCTTCAGGGTCATACGCCAAAACCATAACCAGATCTATCGCAATCTCTTCTCTCAGCTTTTCCTGCATACCATATTTCAATCCTGTTCTCAAAACAAACTTCATGACTTCCACAGTTTCCTCTTTTGCAAGTCCATCTTCCAGCCCTTCAACTTTTTCTGGTAATTCTTCCACCCGTCGATGATAACAAAATCTTCTGAAAAAGTACATAGCAACATCTCTAAATAGATTTCTCTGATGAGTGACCCCTAAATTAACTCTATACATTTTTTCTCTTGAAATTTCTTCAGGGTCGTACGCCAAAACCATATCCAAATCAGTCACCATTTCCTCTCTCAGCTTTTCCTGCATGCCATCTTTCAATCCTGTTCTCAAAACAAGCTCCATGTCTCTATAATATAACATATTGTTCTGAACTATATCCACAATATCTTCTGTTAATTCATCTGCCCGTCATTCATGAATTGTACAATTGTAAAAAAAGGAAAAAAAGAAACTTGAACTTTCAATAAGCTGAAAAAGGTCTTTGCAATATATCTGTATCCATTCAGTAACCGGAAGAAGAGTGAAAGTTTTCCTTAACAATGCCTTTTGCTACAAAGAAACAGCAATTCCGCAGCCATTTTCTTCTTGCTTTAATTTTATACAAATAAGGAAGATAGTATAGTATTCTCTGAGTTAAAGTCTTAAATCATCTAAAATCCAGTCCTCCTGTTCAATTCCATCTGCTTTAAATTTTACTCACAATAAGTGTCTTTGAAAAGCAGAAGTGGAAGCTGCATCTGGCTTTGCTCCTAAAAAAAAGGAGCAAAGGTACCGTGGGGTGCGGAGAAAAGCCCAGACTCCGAGAGAGCCATCACTTTCAAATCCCCCAACAAAAAAGGGGGAGAAAGGAGGCTACTATCTCTATCCAGGCAAACTCACCCCCCCTCTTTGCCCGAGGGGTGAGGTTCCTAGCCGAGAAACCGCTGTTGATCGCTGTCTCTTCAGGCTTTGACGCAGCCCCAGGCGGACGGCTAAAAGAAGCCGCCATCCCCGCAGCTGTTTCCCACCGGAAGTCAGCTTTGTTAGAGTCTTAGCCGTGGGAATCTTAGTGCACGGAATGAAGTGCACCTGTTTGGAGAATAGGTCCATCACCACCCAAATGATGGTGTTTCCTGCGCTCTCCAGTAACTCCATGATAAAATCCATGGAAATCTGTCACCAAGGTGCTGACGGGCTTGCTACCACCTGTAATAAGCCTGATGTTTTTCCCCTGCCTTCATTTTGCCACTGTACAAATGGAGCAGCTAGCCACATAGCTTTCAATGTCTTTCTTTATGGATGGCCACCAAAACTGTCTCTTCACTAGGTGGAGCATCTTCATGAACCCAAAATGCCCAGCCACCTTTGAGTCATGACATAGCTGCATGAATTTCAGTTTTTGGGTTTTTGGCATGTATAGCTTTCCCCCCACTCATGGCAGTCCATCATTCATCGAGCAGAGGTTTTTATGTCTCAGGAACCACTCATTTGTTTCTAGAGCCTGTCTGAACTCTGTTCCGGCTGCACTATCTATGGGTTTTGATTTCTTTGCCTGCAACCTTGTGATTACTGGAGCCACTAATTGTTTAGATGGCATAAGAGGGCTCACCACTTCTGTTTTTATACTATTATACTGTGGTAGCCTTGATAAAGCATTGGCTAGAAAGTTCTTCCCCCCAGGTATGTATTTAATAGTGAAGTTAAACCGGTAGAAATGTTGGGACCATCTCACTTGTTTCAGTGACAGTTTCCTTGGGGTTTTTAAGGCTTCAAGGTTTTTATGATCAGTTCATACCTGGAAGGGGATTTTATTCCCTTCCAGGAAATGCATCCACATAAGGAGAGCCCAGCTTACTGCATAGGCTTCCTTCTCCCACACTGCCCACCTCTGTTCTGTTTCGGTGAGTTTCCTGGATGTATAGGCACAGGCTTGTAGCTGGCCCTCTTGGTTTTCTTGGAA